TAATCTTTAACAAGCTCTCGGCGCTTCAAACTTGCCAATTTGGTGAAACAATTAAAACCACAAAAATTGTAGGCCAACTATGTCTGAGCTACTTTGAAAAATTGAAAAGGAGAATTAAAAGACTAAAACGGAATACATAATAGGAGCTATTACAACTAGGCAATAATGGTAAATGATGAACTAATTTTGACTCAAGTACTACTGTATCCTCGAGCAAAATTACTAGACATCTTGAGTGCACTGCTTGTTAACAGAAAATGTATGTTGCGGTTTCGGTTTCTGTTTTTCTTTTCTTCCTATAAATAATCGTATCATATTAGTATGAAGTGCTTTTTTCATGCTCTTTGATCTCATTAACTTGCTCATGTACATTGTGTTGTTGTGCTTTCGTGCTGGCAGTTCTGGGATTGATGAACTGGAGAAGAGATTGGCTGCACTTAGAAATCCTTGATCTCAGTATCTTGGACTAGTCCTTATGGAGATCCAAAACAGACAAGTTGCTCAAATTCCCCAATGAAGCAGGAATAGAGCCAGAAAGCTGATTATCATAAAGATCCAAATGAGACAAGTTGTTCAAATTCCCCAATGATGCAGGAATAGAGCCAGAAAGATGATTATTATAAAGATACAAATGAGACAAGTTGCTCAAATTCCCCAATGATGCAGGAATAGGGCCAGGAAGCTGATTATCATAAAGATCCAAATGAGACAAGTTGCTCAAATTCCCCAATGATGCAGGAATAGAGCCATTAAGAGAGTTATTACTCAATTGTAGGAAACTAAGAGACCTTAGGTAACCTATTTCTTCAGGAATAGAGCCAGAAAGCTGATTATTATTAAGATACAAATGAGACAAGTTGCTCAAATTCCCCAATGATGCAGGAATAGAGCCAGAAAGCTGATTATCATAAAGATCCAAATGAGACAAGTTGTTCAAAATCCCCAATGATGCAGGAATAGAGCCAGAAAGATGATTATTATAAAGATACAAATGAGACAAGTTGCTCAAATTCCCCAATGATGCAGGAATATAACCAGTAAGAAAGTTCCTACCCAAAGATAGCTTAGTAAGAGACCTTAGGTAACCTATTTCTTCAGGAATAGAGCCATTTAAATGGTTGTCAAATATACAGAGGGTCTGAAGCTTGGCTAGTGAACCGATTTGCTGTGGGATTGTTCCTAAAAACTGATTGAGTTGTTTCAGTCAAGGACTTGGTCAAAAGTGGCCAAAATAGTTTTGTTATCAGACATCGGTCATGATCACTTTTAATGTATGACACAGACATGTCTGGTTCTCAATTCTCATCTCTATAATAGTGGATCATATCCAACAATTCTCAGTCTTAGACGTTACCATGATTCGTAGTGTCTTTGTTACAAATTTGGGTTGTTTGTTTTTGTCTTTTAAAAAATGTCGTCATTTTTCAATCTGTCTTAGCTGTGTTGAGAAGGGTGTTTTATTTTGTTGGGATCTGCTAGATGTTGATGTCTCATGATGTGGAACTTTTGAAAAATGAATAAAGAAAATTATGAGATAATGGTAAAAAATATATGTGAATATCACTTGTTTTTGCGAGTTTTATATTCGAATAATAAGTTATGTATTTTCCCTACTTGAACTATCGTCATCTCAATTTGAATGAAATGTGTAAAACTTAGGTGATTTTTTAATTTGCCTAATAAAGTCATATTGCAAAGGGTATTTTATTTTTATGAGATCTCCAACAGTTTAAACTTTCTCATGCTTGAATATTTTGATAAAATTAAATTTTAATGACTCTCAAACGAGTTTACAAATATATAAAAGGAATTTCTTAATAGTGTTTTATTAGAGATAGATTAAGCTATTTCAACCTCCGAGGATGGTTTTTGAATATTAAAAACTCTAATTCTTCACTTTAAACGCGACCACTTAGAAGGTGGTTTGTGGATCAATTATTATGACTTATAGTATTTTTTATATAGTTTTTAATTATATAAAATTTATAAAAATTTAAAGACTGCATGCTTGAATTTACGATAAAAATTAAAGGATGGCTCTTGAAAATTCAAACAATGCATTATAAATTGAGATAGAGGGAGTAAGCTACATAAGATTGTTTCCGCAAAGAATAATTAAATACATTTCTCTGGTCCCAAGAAGAAAATTAAAATAAATTGATGATCAACAGGAAACGCATTTCCTTCAAATTTGCAAATTTGGTTGCTATCAGAGAAAATATGTTCATTCTCAAGTCAAATTTTGAGTTGTTTCAGTCAAGGACTTAGTCAGAGTGGACAAAATAGTTTTGTTATTAGACATCGGTCATGACCACTTTTAACGTATGATACAAACATGTCTGGTTCTCAATTCTTATCTCTAAAGTAGTGGATTATATCCAATAGTTTTCTGTTTTAGATCAATAAAACTCTAGGTGACAGTATCTCTAATTCATGTAGTAGATGTCAAGAGTTGATTTTTCACATAATCACTCAACTATTCGGAAAGTCACTTTTCTTTGGTTTGTTACATAAAAATTACTTAATTATTGTCATTTCACGTATAAAGTCACTTAATCAATTCAAGTTATATTTTCATTAGATAATGATGGTGTGGAATTATTTTCAAGCTCTTTTAAAAAATGAAAAGTTAAAAAATGAAAAGCCAACAATTCTTCATCATCCAATGACTTAGTCAAAGTGGCCAAAATAGTTTTGTTGTTACATATTAATACAGACATGTTTGGTTCTCATTTTCATCTTTAAAGTAATGGACTATATCCAACAATTCTACGTCTTAAGCTAATAAATTTCTAGATTACATTATCTTTAATTTGACTAGTGAGAATTTATATGGCAGGTGTCAAGTATTGACTTCTCATATTATCATCAATTATTCAAAAAGTCATTTTTTCTGTTCTTTGTTTTGTGACAGAAAAATCACTCAATTATTGTCATTTTTCCGTATAAAGTCATTCAATCAATTTAAATGATATATTCAAATTAAATTTGAATATCACTTTTTTGCGAGTTTTACATTCGAATAATAAGTTATTTATTTTCCCTACTTGAACTATTGTCGTCTCAATTTGAAACACAGATTATTCACAAACAACTGAGACTTATGGTTTTGAGGAGTGAGTGTAATTTTATGGTAAGTGGCCAATCTATCAATGAAATGTGTAAAAATTAGGTGATTTTTCAATCTACCAAATAAAGTCGTGTTGCAAAGGGTATTTTATTTTTATGAGACCTCCAAGAGTTTCACATTTTTCATGCTCGAATATTTTGATAAAATTAAATTTCAATGACTCTCAAATTGATTTTCCAAATAAAAGAATTTCTTCACTGAGATTATATTTTGATATGATGAAGTATCTTGTGGAATTTGTCGGAATAGGTAATGACCCTTGATGAAAACTGGATATTAATAGTTTTTTAATTAGAGATAGATTAAGATATTTCAACCTCCGAAGATGGTTTCTAGATATTAAAAACTCCAATTCTTTCACTTCACACGCGATCACTCCGAAGATGGTTTGCGGATAAATTATTGTAACTTATAGTACTTTTTCTGTAGTTTCAAAATATATAAATTTTATTTTAAATTTTCTAAAGACTTCCCTGATTTTTTGGTGAAAATTAAACTATTTGGCTCTTGAAAATCCAGACTATGCATTACAAATTGAGATAGAGGGAGTAATCTTCATATGATTGTTTTCGCAAATAGTAATTAAACACATATCTCTGGTCCCAAAAAGAACAGGAAACGCATTTTCTTTAAATTTGCAAATTTGGTTGCTATTAGAGAAAATGTGGTCATTCTCAAGTCAAATTTTGAGTTTGTTTTGAGTTACACATTTAATTCAGCAAAGGACTTAGTCAAAGTGGCCAAAATAGTTCTGTTATGACACATTGATCATGACCACTTTTAATGTATGATACAGACATGCCTGGTTTTCAATTGTTATCTCTAAAGTAGTGGACCATATCCAATAATTTTCAGGACTAGGCATGCTCCATTTTAGACATTTGATATTAATCTTAGCCATGAATCTCTCAACCTGGTAAGGAATATTTTCCCACTGATGCAAGAATTGTTCTTGGTTTGATGGATAACCTGATTACATTTACTGCTAACACAAACATGAATTTGTAGTTGAGGCATATTAGCTATATCTTCTTGATTTTGTGCTTCCTATTCTTGAATCTCTCCTTCTTTATGTTGTAACAGTTGTTTGTAATTGAGTCATATTGGTAACCTGTTGTAACATGAGAACACCATAGTCATGGTAATGAGCCATAGCAACAATTTCGTGCACCATTTGTTCCAGAGTTGGTTGAGCTATTAAATGCATCGTGTGAATTATCAGCTACCTTGAATAGATTAGACGGAACTACGGAACTTCCCTGTTGTTAGGGTCATTTTACAATATTCTGTCTTGCCAGTGCTGTTTCAAACTAACTAGTATACCCCCCCTTGTATCTGGAAATAGAACACACAAATGTTTCAAACAAACATTATTGCAATTAGCAAAGGAAAGTTTCAAAGTGCTACGAGCACAACTAGGAATATCATTGATGAATGCAAATGAAAAAAAAAAACAGTTTACTTTGAGTAAGCCTGTTTGTGTAATGAAAAGCTAAGCTCCTGCTATGTAGGGAAGGGCCGGACCACAAGGGTGTATTGTAATTTGTATGCAACCTCACTCTACATCTCTGCAAGAGACTGTTTCCACGACAATCTTATCAAAATTCATAATATTACATTTTCCCAGTTTAAGAAAAGCTTATAAAACTAAAAATCAAATACAACAATCATAAGCTGCAACATAGGAAGAACCAAATCCATTACTCCAACAGGCACCTGAAAATCTGAAAAAATAAGAAAGTGAGTCACACAACTATAAATTTTTAGCCTTCGTTAACACAACTTCCAACTGATTACTTGCAATTCATATCAAGCGTTAATACGTATTTGTTGATAACTAAAAGCATAAAACCTAATATATTAGTTGTTAGAATAAACTAAAAAAGATTAGTGTAGAGCTTAGCTTGAATACCTGAAGTTCTGAAATCAAATCCTTCTTTATTGGTAACTTGTCTAGAAGCGATTATTTCTTCCTCTGTAATTCCCTTGACCTCGCTGCTTCTTTCTCCTTCGTATGATAATTTTGTGTTCCAGTTCTTCAATGATTCTTGCAAGCCATCTTAGATTTCCAGTTGAGATCAAGAAATATATTATGGATAAGCCAATGCATAGTCCACTGCCATAGCCCATCAGAGCTGCTTTCCAAAAATCATTGAAAAATTCAGAATTTCTTTCTTGATCTTCTAGCGCAGACACTGTATAGTTTGTCTCTGACACAGGATCATTGCCACAACCTTTTGAAACGGGGAATCCACGTAATCCATCATTACCATCAAATGAACTGTTCTCAAAGGTACGAAATTGGGGTCCTTGAGGGATGCATCCTTGGAGATAATTGTGGGAGAGATTTAAGAATTCAAGAGACGTAAGAGAAGCAAGTTGTTGTGGTATCTCTCCCGAAAGCTGGTTAAACGAAAGGTCTAAGGACTCCACTACAGATAAATTTCCAAGTGATAGTGGTATATGACCTTTCAATCCATTATGAGACATATTCAATACCCGAAGAGCTATGAGATCTCCTAGAACACTATGAATACGTCCTTCAAATTTATTGTTTGAAAGATCAATAACTGTGTACAAAGACAAAATTTTCACTACTTCAAGCTTCAATCCCTTTGTTACAACAACCACCGAGTCTTGGTAGTAGAATCCACCTCCTTTATAATTTGGTAACTTTATTGTTTGATCAATAGTCATCATGCCTTTCAAATGTTGAAACAGACTCGTTGGTAAGTCTTTCGAGAAGGCATTGTTAGAGAGATCTATGATTCGAAGATCAGGAAGCATGATTTCAGCACCTGAAGATCTTATGGGTCCATGCAATTTATTCGATGTCAATCTTAAAACTCTCAGCTCTGGCAAAGTTCCCAACCACATGGGGAATGTGTCATTGAGATGATTATCTCCTAGGTCAAGAACTTGCAGCTTTTTGCAATTGGCCAAAGATCGAGGGATTTCACCCTCTAGTTCATTGCCATGCAAGTTGAGACTTATAAGTGAACTTCCAATGCTAAAATTTGTTGGAAGAGTCCCTGTAAGTTTGTTATTCTGCATATCAAAAACCTGGGGGCTACTAATATTGCCAAAACATTGTGGAATTGCTCCCTCCAGATTGTTTCTGCCCAAATCTAGAATTTGTAGTGATGTTAAATTGGAAATAGATGAAGGGATCTCTCCGCTGAGATTATTATGTGACATCATCAAAACCTGGAGGCTGCTGATATTACCCAAACATTGTGGAACTTTTCCCCTCAAATTGTTTCTCGGCATAGACAACACTTCCAGTGATGTCAAATTGCACACAAATGAAGGAATTTCCCCAATGAGATTGTTATCATTGAGAATCATATTTTCCAGATTTCTCAAATTGCCAAATGAAGCAGGAATAGATCCATTAAGAGAGTTATTACCCAAAGATAGATAAGTAAGAGAACTTAGGTAACCTATCTCTAGAGGAATAGAGCCAGAAAAGTGATTATCAAAAAGATACAAAAAAGACAAGTTGCTCAAATTCCCCAATGAAGCAGGAATAGAGCCATTAAGAGAGTTATTACCCAAAGATAGATAAGTAAGAGAACTTAGATAACCTATCTCTAGAGGAATAGAGCCAGAAAGCAGATTATTATTAAGAACCAAATCAGACAAGTTGCTCAAATTCCCCAATGAAGCAGGAATAGAGCCAGAAAAGTGATTATCAAAACGATCCAAAACAGACAAGTTGCTCAAATTCCCCAATGAAGCAGGAATAGAGCCATTAAGAGAGTTCTCACCCAAATGTAGGTAAGTAAGAGACCTTAGGTAACCTATCTCTAGAGGAATAGAGCCAGAAAAGTGATTATCAAAAATATCCAAAACAGACAAGTTGCTCAAATTCCCCAATGAAGCAGGAATAGAGCCATTAAGAGAGTTCAAAGCCAAAGATAGCTTAGTAAGAGACATTAGGTAACCTATTTCTTCAGGAATAGAGCCAGAAAGCTGATTTTCATAAAGAAGCAAAAAAGACAAGTTGTTCAAATTCCCCAATGAAGCAGGAATAGAACCAGTTAGAAAGTTCCTACGCAAAGATAGCTTAGTAAGAGACCTTAGGTAACCTATTTCTTCAGGAATAGAGCCATTTAAATAGTTGTCAAATATACGGAGGGTCTGAAGGTTGGCTAGTGAACCGATTTGCTGTGGGATTGTTCCTGAAAACTGATTGATGTTCAAGTTAAGAAAGACGAGATTAGTGAGATTACCAATCTCAGGTGGAATGGTTCCCGAGAAATTGTTCATGCTAAGATCAAGATTTTCAAGAAAAGGGAGGGATGAAAACGGAAAAGCATAGAGTGTACCAATGACACTAGAATTTGTAATATTCAACGTGTTTACCTTCCCATTAAAGCATATAACTCCATACCAGTCCGTGCATGCATTAAAACTTGGCGTCCATGAAGCCAATAAGGAATTATTCTGGTTCTTGAAAATTGCTTTCCATTTCAAGAGGGCAGTTGCTTCATCAGTGGAAGCAAAAGGAACTGTAAAGAGGTACAAAAGAGAGAAAAACTGAAGCGAAGAGAATGTTTTGCTAGAAACCATCATCATATTTTGAGTTTATTGTTTCGGATTCATAGGATTTGATATTGTATGTAACTTATACTAATTAAAGACCAACAGGAAACGCGTTTTTTCCAAATTTGCTAATTTGGCTGCTATCGGAGAAAAAAATGTTGCCATTCTCTTGTCAAATTTTGGATTGTTTTGTGTTAGAGGTCTAATTCAGGCAAGGACTTAATCAAAGTGGCCAAAATAGTTTTGTTATCACAAAGTGATTATGACCACTCTTAGTGTATGATACAGACATGGCTGGTTCTCAATTCTCATCTCTACAGTAGTGGACCATATCCAACAATTCTCAGTCTTAGACGTTACGATGATTTGTCATGTCTTTGTTGCAAATTTGGGTTGTTTTGTTTTTGTCTTTGAGAAAATGTTGTCATTTTTCAATCTGTCTTAGGCGTGTTGAGAAGGGTGTTATAATTTTATTGGACCTGCTAGTTATCGATGTCTGATGATGTGGAACTTTTGAAAAATGAACAGCCAAATAAATGAAAGAGCAAAGAAAATTAAGAGATAATATATGGTCAAAACTAGATGAAGAACGCCCGTGCTGCACACGGCCTAACAATTTCAATTATGATATACTCTCCTTGTTCAATTTTACAATTTCATTATTTCAAAAATAGGTTTTTATTTTTATTTGTCACTTGTAATATATCAAGAAAAGAAAATTACTATTTTTCATTACTAACGTTAGCATTAATTATTTATTCTCCAACTCATTTTTCTAGATTTAATATTAAACATTACGTAGTTAATATGGATAGAACAGTAAAATAGTCATGTCAATTATTATTTTTTAATAGGCATGAAATTTATTTATGTTTCGACTACTACTGTTGTTCATAATATAATGGGGAAAATGCATAAGTATCCCCCCCTCCCTCCCAACCTATGCCCGAAATTTCAGACACTTATACTATACTAAGGTCCTATTACCCCCCCCCCTCCAAACTTATTTTATAAATAATTTTCTACCCCTTTTCGGTCTACGTGGCACTATCTTCTGGGTCTAGCGCGTGTTGACAGTTTTTTCAAGCTATCTGGTTGATAGTGCCACGTAGGGCGAAAAGGGATAGAAAATTATTTATAAAATAAGTTCGGGGGGGGGGGGGGTAATAGGACCTTACTATTGTATAAGTGTGTCTCTGAGATTTCGGGCATAGGTTGGGGGTACTTATGCATTTTCCCAATATAATGTTTTTCATTTTATATCTATTAAATCCAATTTTATTTTTTCATACTATTAAATCCAATATTATTTTTTCTTAATGAAATTTTATGTTGCACTCTATAGGAATTTGAATACTTGTATATATTAATTTAATTTCAGACTATATCATACAATTTTTTTAGAGAAAAGCATTAAAGACACTCGTAAATTCGACGCGAATTATTAGTTTCATTCTTGAACTACTGACAACCTTAAAATAACTCAAACTAAATACGAATGTTTAATTATGTAATTGATGTAATTTGTCTTATAAAACTAAAAGTCAAATTCACAATTCAAATGTAAGATTATACTAATAAATATGGATTTGATTTAATGTTGCAAGTTACGTTTAAAAAAATTGCTAATAAATCTAGTAAGTACATTAAGTATCAATATAAATCTTACGTTATAAATGATAATAACCAAACAAAAATTCAATTTCTTCCCAATATAACAAAAATGATTTTTAGCAGCAATAAATATAAACATTAACAAAGAGTGCTAAAGCATTTACCGACATTAGTTAATTGTCATTAGATTCAATTTTACTATAGACTTTAGGGACACTTACAAAGAAAGCTAATTGTCATTAAAAGTACATGTTTAGCGACAATCAAGCTATTACAGCTAAAAAATATTTTTAATATAATGTCCATATGTTAATGTTAATAAATAATACATATAACTAAACAATGTTTAGATAAATAAATAATGGTAAGTTGAAAAATATAAAGGAAAGAAATGATAATATATGTTGAGGAAAGAAGTGGCAAGCAAATTGTCCACACGAAGGGTAACTTTTTCATCATCACTTTAATATACACTAATCATAATGGCAAAAACGTCTACACAGACAAAATATAACAAAACATCTATAAGAAATAGAACTTTCCGCCGAGACAATTGGTCAATTGAAACTTAAATAACTAAAATACTCTTCAAAACGCCAAGCAGGCATGTTGATACCAACATTTCCACTGGCTCTTCTAATATAGTAGATATAGAATATCATTTTTTTTTGCGAGTTTTACATTCGAATAATAAGTTATTTATTTTCCCTACTTGAACTATTGTCATTTCAATTTGAAACACAAATTATTCACAAACAACTGAGATTTATGGATTTCGAGGTGTGAGCGTAATTTTATAGTAAGTGGCATGTCTGTCAATGAAATGTGTAAAAATTAGGTGATTTTTCAATCCGCCTAATAAAATCGTATTGCAAAGGGTATTTTATTTTTATGAGACCTCCAAGAGTTTCAAATTTTGCATGCTCGAATATTTTGATAAAATTAAATTTCAATGACTCAAATCGATTTTACAAATATATAAAAGGAATTTCTTCACTCGGATTATTTTTTGATATGAAGTATCTTGTGGAATTTATTAGAGTAGGTAATGACCCTTGAAGAAAATTGGATCGCAAATTAATAGTGTTTTATTAGAGATAGATTAAAATATCTAAACCTTTGAGGATGGTTTGTGAATATTAAAAAATCTAATTCTTTCCCTTTAAACGCGACCACTTAGAAGATGGTTTGCGGATTAATTATTATGACTTAATAGTACTTTTTACGTAGTTTTTAAATATATAAATTTTATTTTAACAATTTAAAGACTTCATGCCTGAATTTACAATAAAAATTAAAGGATTTGGCTTTTGAAAATTCAAAATTATACATTATAAATTGAGATAGAGGGAGTAAGCTTCGTAAGATTGTTTTCGCAAAGAATAATTAAACACATTTTTCTAGTCCCAAGAAGAAAAACAAAATAAATTGCAAATCAATAGGAAACGTGTTTTTATCAAATTTGCAAATTTGGCAGCTATCAGAGAAAATGTGGTCATTCTCAAGTCAAATTTTGAGTTGTTTCAGTCAAGGACTTAGTCAAAAGTGGCCAAAATAGTTTTGTTATCAGACATCGGTCATGACCACTTTTAATGTATGATACAGACATGTCTGGTTCTCAATTCTCATCTCTACAATAGTGGATCATATCCAACAATTCTTAGTCTTAGACGTTACTATGATTCGTAGTGTCTTTGTTACAAATTTGGGTTGTTTATTTTTATCTTTTAGAAAATGTTGTCATTATTCAATCTGTCTTAGCCGTGTTGGGAAGGGTGTTTGATTTTGTTGGGACCTGCTAGATGTTGATGTCTCATGATATGGAACTTTTGAAAAATGAATAAAGAAAATTATGAGATAATGGTAAAAAATATATGTGAATATCACTTTTTCTTTGTGAGTTTTACATTCGAATTATAAGTTATGTATTTTCCCTACTTGAACTATCGTCATCTCAATTTGAATGAAATGTGTAAAAATTAGGTGATTTTTTAATTTGCCTAATAAAGTCATATTGCAAAGGGTATTTTATTTTTATGAGATCTCCAAAAGTTTAAACTTTCTCATGCTCTAATATTTTGATAAAATTAAATTTTAATGAATTTCAAACGAGTTTACAAATCTATAAAAGGAATTTCTTAATAGTGTTTTATAAGAGATAGATTAAGCTATGTCAACCTTCGAGGATGGTTTTTGAATATTAAAAACTCTAATTCTTCACTTTAAACGTGACCACCTAGAAGATGGTTTGTGGATCAATTATTATGACTTATAGTATTTTTTAGGTAGTTTTTAAATATATAAATTTTATTTAAAAAATTTAAAGACTGCATGCTTGAATTTACAATAAAAATTAAAGGATGGCTCTTGAAAATTGAAACAATGCATTATAAATTGAGATAGGGGGAGTAAGTTACATAAGATTGTTTCCGCAAAGAATAATTAAATTTCTCTGGTCCCAAGAAGAAAATTAAAATAAATTGATGATCAATAGAAAACGCGTTTCCTTCAAATTTGCACATTTGGTTGCTATCAGAGAAAATATGGTCATTCTCAAGTCAAATTTTGAGTTTTTTTTGTCAAGGACTTAGTCAGGGTGGCAAAAATAGTTTTGTTATTAGACATCGATCATGACCTCTTTTAACGTATGATTCAAACATGTCTGGTTCTCAATTCTTATCTCTAAAGTAGTGGATTATATCCAATAATTTTCAATTTTAGATCAATAAAACTCTAGGCTACATTATCTCTAATTCATGTAGTAGATGTCTAAGAGTTTGATTTTTCACATAATCACTCAACTATTCGGAAAGTCACTTTTCTTTGGTTTGTTACATAAAAATTACTTAATTATTGTCATTTCACGTATAAAGTCACTTAATCAATTCAAGTTATATTTTCGTTAGATAATGATGGTGTGGAATTATTTTCAAGCTCTTTTAAAAAATGAAAAGCCAACAATTCTCCATCATCCAATGACTTAGTCAAAGTGGCCAAAATAGTTTTGTTGTTACATATTAATACAAACATGTTTGGTTCTCATTTTCATCTTTAAAGTAATGGACTATATCCAACAATTCTACGTCTTAAGCCAATAAATTTCTAGATTACATTATCTTTAATTTGACTAGTGAGAATTTATATGGCAGGTGTCAAGTATTGACTTCTAATATTATCATCAATTATTCAAAAAGTCATTTTTTCTGTTCTTTGTTTTGTGACAGAAAAATCACTCAATTATTGTCATTTTTCCGTATAAAGTCATACAATCAATTTAAATGATATATTCAAATTAAATTTGAATATCACTTTTTTGCGAGTTTTACATTCGAATAATAAGTTATTTATTTTCCCTACTTGAACTATTGTTGTCTCAATTTGACTTATGGTTTTGAGGAGTGAGTGTAATTTTATGGTAAGTGGCCAATCTATCAATGAAATGTGTAAAAATTAGGTGATTTTTCAATCTACCAAATACAGTCGTGTTGCCAAGGGTATTTTATTTTTATGAGACCTCCAAGAGTTTCACATTTTTCATGCTCGAATATTTTGATAAAATTAAATTTCAGTGACTCTCAAATCGATTTTCCAAATAAAAGAATTTCTTCACTGAGATTATATTTTGATATGATGAAGTATCTTGTGGAATTTGTCGGAATAGGTAATGACCCTTGATGAAAACTGGATATTAATAGTTTTTTAATTAGAGATAGATTAAGATATTTCAACCTCCGAAGATGGTTTCTGGATATTAAAAACTCCAATTCTTTCACTTCACACGCGATCACTCCGAACATGGTTTGCAGATAAATTATTGCAACTTATAGTACTTTTTTTGTAGTTTCAAAATATATAAATTTTATTTTAAATTTTCTAAAGACTTCCCTGATTTTTTGGTGAAAATTAAACTATTTGGCTCTTGAAAATCCAGACTATGCATTACAAATTGAGATAGAGGGAGTAATCTTCATATGATTGTTTTCGCAAATAGTAATTAAACACATATCTTTGGTCCCAAAAAGAACAGGAAACGCGTTTTCTTTAAATTTGCAAATTTGGTTGCTATTAGAGAAAATGTGGTCATTCTCAAGTCAAATTTTGAGTTTGTTTTGAGTTACACATTTAATTCAGCAAAGGACTTAGTCAAAGTGGCCAAAATAGTTCTGTTATGACACATTGATCATGACCACTTTTAATGTATGATACAGACATGTCTGGTTTTCAATTGTTATCTCTAAAGTACTGGACCATATCCAATAATTTTCAGGACTAGGCATGCTCCATTTTAGACATTTGATATTAATCTTAGCCATGAATCTCTCAACCTGGTAAGGAATATTTTCCCACTGATGCAAGAATTGTTCTTGGTTTGATGGATAACCTGATTACATTTACTGCTAACACAAACATGAATTTGTAGTTGAGGCATATTAGCTATATCTTCTTGATTTTGTGCTTCCTATTCTTGAATCTCTCCTTCTTTATGTTGTAACAGTTGTTTGTAATTGAGTCATATTGGTAACCTGTTGTAACATGAGAACACCATAGTCATGGTAATGAGCCATAGCAACAATTTCGTGCACCATTTGTTCCAGAGTTGGTTGAGCTATTAAATGCATCGTGTGAATTAGCAGCTACCTTGAATAGATTAGGCGGAACTACAGAACTTCCCTGTTGTTAGGGTCATTTTACAATATTCTGTCGTGCCAGTGCTGTTTCAAACTAACTAGTATGCCCCCCCTTGTATCTGGAAATAGAACACACAAATGTTTCAAACAAACATTATTGCAATTAGCAAAGGAAAGTTTCAAAGTGCTACGAGCACAATTAGGAATATCATTGATGAATGCAAATGAGAAAAAAAAACAGTTTACTTTGAGTAAGCCTGTTTGTGTAATGAAAAGCTAAGCTCCTGCTATGTAGGGAAGGGCCGGACCATAAGGGTGTATTGTAATTTGTATGCAACCTCACTCTACATCTCTGCAAGAGACTGTTTCCACGACAATCTTATCAAAATTCATAATATTACATTTTCCCAGTTTAAGAAAAGCTTATAAAACTAAAAATCAAATACAACAATCATAAGCTGCAACATAGGAAGAACCAAATCCATTACTCCAACATGCACCTGAAAATCTGAAAAAATAAGAAAGTGAGTCACACAACTATAAATTTTTAGCCTTCGTTAACACAACTTCCAACTGATTACTTGCAATTCATATCAAGCGTTAATACGTATTTGTTGATAACTAAAAGCATAAAACCTAATATATTAGTTGTTAGAATAAACTAAAAAAGATTAGTGTAGAGCTTAGCTTGAATACCTGAAGTTCTGAAATCAAATCCTTCTTTATTGGTAACTTGTCTAGAAGCGATTATTTCTTCCTCTGTAATTCCCTTGACCTCGCTGCTTCTTTCTCCTTCGTATGATAATTTTGTGTTCCAGTTCTTCAATGATTCTTGCAAGCCATCTTAGATTTCCAGTTGAGATCAAGAAATATATTATGGATAAGCCAATGCATAGTCCACTGCCATAGCCCATCAGAGCTGCTTTCCAAAAATCATTGAAAAATTCAGAATTTCTTTCTTGATCTTCTAGCGCAGACACTGTATAGTTTGTCTCTGACACAGGATCATTGCCACAACCTTTTGAAACGGGGAATCCACGTAATCCATCATTACCAGCAAATGAACTGTTCTCAAAGGTACGAAATTGGGGTCCTTGAGGGATGCATCCTTGGAGATAATTGTGGGAGAGATTTAAGAATTCAAGAGACGTAAGAGAAGCAAGTTGTTGTGGTATCTCTCCCAAAAGCTGGTTAAACGAAAGGTCTAAGGACTCCACTACAGATAAATTTCCAAGTGATAGTGGTATATGACCTTTCAATCCATTATGAGACATATTCAATACCCGAAGAGCTATGAGATCTCCTAGAACACTAGGAATACGTCCTTCAAATTTATTGTTTGAAAGATCAATAACTGTGTACAAAGACAAAATTTTCACTACTTCAAGCTTCAATCCCTTTGTTACAACAACCACCGAGTCTTGGTAGTAGAATCCACCTCCTTTATAATTTGGTAACTTTATTGTTTGATCAATAGTCATCATGCCTTTCAAATGTTGAAACAGACTTGTTGGTAAGTCTTTCGAGAAGGCATTGTTAGAGAGATCTATGATTCGAAGATCAGGAAACATGATTTTAGCACCTGAAGATCTTATGGGTCCATGCAATTTATTCGATGTCAATCTTAAAACTCTCAGCTCTGGCAAAGTTCCCAACCACATGGGGAATGTGTCATTGAGATGATTATCTCCTAGGTCAAGAACTTGCAGCTTTTTGCAATTGGCCAAAGATCGAGGGATTTCACCCTCTAGTTCATTGCCATGCAAGTTGAGACTTATAAGTGAACTTCCAATGCTAAAATTTGTTGGAAGAGTCCCTGTAAGTTTGTTATTCTGCATATCAAAAACCTGGAGGCTACTAATATTGCCAAAACATTGTGGAATTGCTCCCTCCAGATTGTTTCTGCCCAAATCTAGAATTTGTAGTGATGTTAAATTGGAAATAGATGAAGGGATCTCTCCGCTGAGATTATTATGTGACATCATCAAAATCTGGAGGCTGCTGATATTACCCAAACATTGTGGAACTTTTCCCCTCAAATTGTTTCTCGGCATAGACAACACTTCCAGTGATGTCAAATTGCACACAAATGAAGGAATTTCCCCAATGAGATTGTTATCATTGAGAATCATATTTTCCAGATTTCTCAAATTGCCAAATGAAGCAGGAATAGATCCATTAAGAGAGTTATTACCCAAAGATAGATAAGTAAGAGAACTTAGGTAACCTATCTCTAGAGGAATAGAGCCAGAAAAGTGATTATCAAAAAGATACAAAAAAGACAAGTTGCTCAAATTCCCCAATGAAGCAGGAATAGAGCCATTAAGAGAGTTACTACTCAATTCTAGGAGAGTAAGAGAACTTAGGTAACCTATCTCTAGAGGAATAGAGCCAGAAAGCAGATTATTATTAAGAACCAAATCAGACAAGTTGCTCAAATTCCCCAATGAAGCAGGAATAGAGCCATTAAGAGAGTTATTACCCAAAGATAGATAAGTAAGAGAACTTAGATAACCTATCTCTAGAGGAATAGAGCCAGAAAGCAGATTATTATTAAGAACCAAATCAGACAAGTTGCTCAAATTCCCCAATGAAGCAGGAATAGAGCCAGAAAAGTGATTATCAAAAAGATACAAAACAGACAAGTTGCTCAAATTCCCCAATGAAGCAGGAATAGAACCAGTAAGAAAGTTCCTATCCAAAGATAGCATAGTAAGAGACATTAGGTAACCTATTTCTTCAGGAATAGAGCCAGAAAGCTGATTTTCATAAAGAAGCAAAAAAGACAAGTTGTTCAAATTCCCCAATGAAGCAGGAATAGAACCAGTAAGAAAGTTCCTACCCAAAGATAGCTTAGTAAGAGACCTTAGGTAACCTATTTCTTCAGGAATAGAGCCAGAAAGCTGATTTTCATAAAGAAGCAAAAAAGACAAGTTGTTCAAATTCCCCAATGAAGCAGGAATAGAACCAGTAAGAAAGTTCCTACCCAAAGATAGCTTAGTAAGAGACCTTAGGTAACTTATTTCTTCAGGAATAGAGCCATTTAAATGGTTGTCAAATATACGGAGGGTCTGAAGCTTGGCTAGTGAACCGATTTGCTGTGGGATTGTTCCTGAAAACTGATTGATGTTCAAGTTAAGAAAGATGAGATTAGTGAGATTACCAATCTCAGGTGGAATGGTTCCCGAGAAATTGTTCATGCTAAGATCAAGATTTTCAAGAAAAGGGAGGGATGAAAACGGAAAAGCATAGAGTGTACCAATTACAATAGAATTTGTAATATTCAACGTGTTTACCCTCCCATTAAAGCATATAACTCCATACCAGTCCGTGCATGCATTAAAACTTGGCGTCCATGAAGCCAATAAGGAATTATTCTGGTTCTTGAAAGTTGCTTTCCATTTCAAGAGGGCAGTTGCTTCATCAGTGGAAGCAAAAGTAACTGTAAAGAGGTACAAAATAGTGAAAAACTGAAGCGAAGAGAATGTTTTGCTAGAAATCATCATCATATTTTGAGTTTATTGTTTCGGATTCATAGGATTTGATATTGTACGTAACTTATACTAATTAAAGACCAACAGGAAACGCGTTTTTTCCAAATTTGCTAATTTGGCTGCTATCGGAGAAAAAAATGTTGTCATTCTCTCGTCAAATTTTAGATTGTTTTGTGTTAGAGGTCTAATTCAGGCAAGGACTTAATCAAAGTGGCCAAAACAGTTTTGTTATCACAAATTGATTATGACCACTCTTAGTGTATGATACAGACATGTCTGGTTCTCAATTCTCATCTCTACAGTAGTGGATCATATCCAACAATTCTCAGTCTTAGACGTTACGATGATTTGTTATGTCTTCGTTGCAAATTTGGGTTGTTTTGTTTTTGTCTTTGAGAAAATGTTGTCATTTTTCAATCTGTCTTAGCCGTGTTGAGAAGGGTGTTATATTTTTATTGGACCTGCTAGATATTGATGTCTGATGATGTGGAACTTTTGAAAAATGAATAGCCAAATAAATGAAAGAGCGAAGAAAATTAAGAGATAATATATGGTCAAAACTATATTTGAACTAGATGAAGAACGCCTGTGCTGCGCACGGCCTAACAATTTCAATTATGATATACTCTCCGTGTTCATTTTTACACTTTCATTATTTTAAAAATAGATTTTTATTTTTATTTGTCATTTGTAATATATCAAGAAAAGAGAATTATTATTTTTCATTACTAACGTTAGCATTAATTATTTATTCTCCAACTCATTTTTCAAGATTTAATATTAAACATTACGTAGTTAATATGGATAGAACAGTAAAATAGTCATGTCAATTATTATTTTTTAATAGGCATGAAATTTATTTATGTTTCGACTACTACTGTTGTTCATAATATAATGGGGAAAATGCATAAGTACCCCCCCCCCCCAACAACCTATGCCCGAAATTTTAGACACTTATACTGTACTAAGGTCCTATTACCCACCCCCCCCTCCAAACTTATTTTATAAATAATTTTCTACCCCTTTTCAGCTTACGTGGCACTATCTTCTGGGCCTAGCGCGTGTTGACAATTTTTTCAAGTTATCTGGTTGATAGTGCCACATAGGCCGAAAAGGGATAAAAAATTATTTATCAAATAAGTTCGGGGGGTAATAGGACCTTACTATAGTATAAGTGTGTCTCTGAGATTTCGGGCATAGGTTGGGGGTACTTATGCATTTTCCCAATATAATATTTTCATTTTATATCTATTAAATCCAATTTTATTTTTTCATACTATTAAATCCAATATTATTTTTTCTTATTGAAATTTTATGTTGCACTCTATAGGAATTTGAATACTTGTATATTTTAATTTCAGACTATATCATACAATTTGTTTAGAGAAAAGTATTAATTAAAGACACTTGTAAATTCGACGCGAATTATTAGTTTCACTCCTGAACTACTGACAACCTTAAAATAACTCGAACTAAATACGAATGTTTAATTATGTAATTAATGTAATTTGTCTTATAAAACTAAAAAGTCAACTTCACAATTCAAATGTAAGATTATACTAATAAATATGGAATTAATTTAATGTTGCAAGTTACGTTTAAAAAAAATTTGCTAATAAATCTAGTAAGTTCATTAAGTATCAATATAAATCTTACGTTATAAATGATAATAACCAAACAAAAATTTAATTTCTTCCCAATATAACAAAAATGATTTTTAGCGGCAATAAATATAAACATTAACAAAGAGTGCTAAAGCATTTACCGACATTAGTTAATTGTCATTAGATTCAATTTTACTATAGACTTTAGGGACACTTACAAAGAGAGCTAATTGTCATTAAAAGTACATGTTTAGCGACAATCAAGCTATTACAGCTAAAAAATATTTTTAATGTAATGTCCATATGTTAATGTTAATAAATAATACATATAACTAAACAATGTTTAGATAAATAAATAATGGTAAGTTGAAAAATATAAAGGAAAGAAATGATAATGTATGTTGAGGAAAGAAGTGGCAAGCAAATTGTCCAAAGAGTGAGGTTGGGCCCACACGAAGGGTAGCTTTTTCATCATCACTTTAATATACACTAATCATAATGGCAAAAACGTCTACACAGACAAAATATAACAAAACATCTATTAAGAAATAGAACTTTCTGCCGAGACAATTGGTCAATTGAAACTTAAATAACTAAAATACCCTTCAAAATGCCAAGCAGGCATGTTGATACCAACATTTCCACTGGCTCTTCTAATATAGTAGATATAAAATATCATATTTTTTGTGAGTTTTACATTCGAATAATAAGTTATTTATTTTCCCTACTTGAACTATCGTCGTTTCAATTTAAAACACAAATTATTCTCAAACAACTGAGACTTATGGGTTTCGAGGAGTGAACGTAATTTTATAGTAAGTAGCCTATCTGTCAATGAAATGTGTAAAATTAGGTGATTTTTCAATCCGCCTAATAAAGTCGTATTGCAAAGAGTATTTTATTTTTATGAGACCTCCAAAAGTTTAGAATTTCTCATGCTCGATTATTTTGATAAAATTAAATTTCAATGACTCAAATCGATTTTACAAATATATAAATGGAATTTCTTCACTAGGATTATTTTTTGATATGAAGTATCTTGTGGAATTTGTTAGAATAGGTAATGACCCTTGAAGAAAATTGGATCGCAAATTAATAGTGTTTTATTAGAGATAGATTAAGATATCTCAACCATTGAGGATGGTTGTGAATATTAAAAAAATCTAATTCTTTCCCTTTAAACGCGACCACTTAGAAGATGGTTTGCAGATTAATTATTATGACTTATAGTACTTTTTACGTAGTTTTTAAATATATAAATTTTATTTTAACAATTTAAAGTCTTCATGCCTGAATTTACGATAAAAATTAAAGGATTTGGCTCTTGAAAATTCAAACTATACATTATAAATAGAGGGAGTAAGCTTCGTAAGATTGTTTCGCACAGAATAATTAAACACATTTCTCTAGTCCCAAGAAGAAAAACAAAATAAATTGCAAATCAACAGGAAACGTGTTTTTATCAAATTTGTAAATTTGGCAGCTATCAGAGAAAATGTGGTCATTTTCAAGTCAAATTTTGAGTTGTTTCAGTCAAGGACTTAGTCAAAAGTGGCCAAAATAATTTTGTTATCAGACATCGGTCATGATCACTTTTAATGTATGATACAGACATGTCTGGCTCTCAATTCTCATCTCTAAAATAGTGGATAATATCCAACAATTCTCAGTTTTAGACGTTACCATGATTCGTAGTGTCTTTGTTACAAATTTGGGTTGTTTGTTTTTGTCTTTTAAAAAATGTTGTCATTTTTCAATCTGTCTTAGCCGTGTTGAGAAGGGTGTTTTATTTTGTTGGGATCTGCTAGATGTTGATGTCTCATGATGTGGAACTTTTGAAAAATGAAAAAAGAAAATTATGAGATAATGGTAAAAAATATATGTGAATATCACTTTTTTTTGCGAGTTTTACATTCGAATAATAAGTTATGTATTTTCCCTACTTGAACTATCGTCATCTCAATTTGAATGAAATGTGTAAAAATTAGGTGATTTTTTAATTTGCCTAATAAAGTCATATTGCAAAGGGTATTTTATTTTTATGAGATCTCCAAAAGTTTAAACTTTCTCATGCTCTAATATTTTGATAAAATTAAATTTTAATGACTTTCAAACGAGTTTACAAATCTATAAAAGGAATTTCTTAATAGTGTTTTATAAGAGATAGATTAAGCTATGTCAACCTTCGAGGATGGTTTTTGAATATTAAAAACTCTAATTCTTCACTTTAAACGTGACCACCTAGAAGATGGTTTGTGGATCAATTATTATGACTTATAGTATTTTTTAGGTAGTTTTTAAATATATAAATTTTATTTAAAAAATTTAAAGACTGCATGCTTGAATTTACAATAAAAATTAAAGGATGGCTCTTGAAAATTGAAACAATGCATTATAAATTGAGATAGGGGGAGTAAGTTACATAAGATTGTTTCCGCAAAGAATAATTAAATTTCTCTGGTCCCAAGAAGAAAATTAAAATAAATTGATGAGCAACAAGAAACGCATTTCCTTCAAATTTGCAAATTTGGCTGATATCAGAGAAAATATGGTCATTCTCAAGTCAAATTTTGAGTTGTTTCAGTCAAGGACTTAGTCAGAGTGGCCAAAATAGTTTTGTTATTAGACATCGGTCATGACCACTTTTAACGTATGGTACAAACATGTCTGGTTCTCAATTCTTACCTCTAAAGTAGTGGATTATATCCAATAATTTTCAGTTTTAGATCAATAAAACTCTAGGCTACATTATCTCTAATTCATGTAGTAGATGTCAAGAGTTGATTTTTCACAGAATCACTCAACTATTCAGAAAGTCACTTTTCTTTGGTTTGTTACATAAAAATTACTTAATTATTGTCATTTCACGTATAAAGTCACTTAATCAATTCAAGTTATATTTTCTTTAGATAATGATGGTGTGGAATTATTTTCAAGCTCTTTTAAAAAATGAATAGCCAACAATTCTCCGTCATCCAATGACTTAGTCAAAGTGGCCAAAATAGTTTTGTTATTACATATTAATACAGACATGTTTGGTTCTCATTTTCATCTTTAAAGTAATGGACTATATCCAACAATTCTACGTTTTAAGCCAATAAATTTCTAGATTACATTATCTTTAATTTGACTACTGAGAATATATATAGCACGTGTCAAGTATTGACTTCTAATATTATCATCAATTATTCAAAAAGTCATTTTTTCTGTTCTTTGTTTTGTGACAGAAAAGTCACTCAATTATTGTCATTTTTTCGTATAAAGTCATTCAATCAATTTAAATGATATATTCAAATTAAATTTGTGTAACACCCTGTATCCGAAATAGACCAAAAATGCAGATTTTGAGAAGTTGCAGGTGTAACCCACGGTTGCCATCCATGGACCGTAGGTCAGACCACGGCCCGTGCTGGTGGTCCGTGGTTC